ATGATGGTGGCAGCATCATGTTATGGGAATGCTTGTCTTCGCCAAGGACTAAGGAGTTTTTTTAGGATAAAAATAAACGTAATAGAGCTAAGCACAGGCAAAATCCTAGAGGAAAACCTGGTTCAGTCTGCTTTCCACCAGACCGCAAGACAATAACCGAAGACACAAGGCCAAATATACACTGGAGTTGCTTACCAAGACAACATGAATGTTCCTGAGTGGCCTAGTTAGAGTTTTGACTAAATCAGCTTGAAAATATATGGCAAGACTTGAAAATGGTTGTCTAGCAATGATCACCAACCAACTTGACAGAGCTTGAATAATTTGTTAAAGAATAATGGGCAAATATTGTACAATCCAGGTGTGCAAAGCTCTTCAAGACTTACCCAAAAAGATTCACATCTCACAGGGTTGAATACTTATCTAATGAAGATATATTAGTGTTTTATTTTCCATGTAAAAAAATATATATATATCATTTTTCTTCCGCTTTTGACATGACAGTTTATTGTGTGTAGATCGTTGGCAAAGAAATTACAATTCAATCAATTTTAATCTCACTTTGTAACACAACAAAAAGTCAAGGGGTGTGAATACTTTCTGAAGACACCTTATATATGTTTTTATACTGACAGGTTGTGCGCTTATGAAAGAGTTTATGAATGTGCAACACCAAATTAAGCATGTGCTGGGTATAAAAAGATAAGTGGACATATATAAAAACGGTCTTCAGAGGGGCCTTTGGGATGAATTTAGGTAAGAATTGTCTCATAGCGTTGCTCTCACTAGGGCTCTATTCAGTCTGTAAAGCCGAAGCGTTACAGATTGCTCTATGGAAATGTAAAGGTAATTTCCTTGAATGCAGTCTCAGCTAACGGAGGATTTATACCATACAAGCGTCACTCGCTTAGCCACGTTAGCCCCACCCTCATGTGGGTTCTAACAAGCTAGCAAGCAAGCTATGTAGTGGTACGTATCTACAGCCATTGTCAGCCAATCCAGTAGGAGTGGAAGCTATGGTGAGCTTCGATTGGTCAATTGTGTTGCGATATCGCAGAGGATTTGAATAAAGTTCGCAATACCAAACATTAGTCCCACACTGTTCAGCTCCCTTGACCATGCTCCCATCACTCAACGGTCCTCCCGCCCACTCCTCTTCTCTCGCTTTCCTTCCATTGAAAGTTAATGGCTTCCGATGTTTCACTGCGCGATGCCTCTTGCTAGTATAAACGGGCCATAACGCGGGAACATTGCCTTTACAGCTGTAAGGCTGAATTTCCGTAGATTGAATAGAGCCCTAAATTATGTACAGCTTTTGGAAACTAAAAGGCTAAGACACTTTACTGTGCTCACTATGATGGATTAGGTCTTTATCAATCATGCTGCATTGATCTCTGATTGGTTGATTGGTTAGAAATACACCTTATATTATAATGTCACCCATTCATTTCACTGGCATGGCAAATACTGTACACATTCACCTTCTCATCTGCACCTGATTTAAGTTATCTATTCATATTAGCAGAGGTAAACAAGACATTTTGGGTTGTATTTTAACTGTGATGGTTTAGTTTTTTATTTCTATATTGTTTCACCTTTATCACAAATTAGGATGTTGTTTTAGATAAACTACTGTCTATATGTTTGATGATTAAACTCATGTTCAAGCTTTATATTTATCTGTTGATAAATTTGAGATTAAAACTGTGGTTTTACTCTTTTTTTTAATCAAGAAATGTTCTCCCAATTTGACATTGTTGCAGCGGATTGCTTTTTTGTGGTGTATGGTACCCTCTGGTGGCAGACCGGTAGCAGTCTTTTCTCACACAGTCAAAATGAGAAGGGGGAAACGTCAGCTGATACTGGTTGCCATGAAACACTGGCACATCAAGCACATGGCTCTAAACTCAGTTACCTGTAAATAATTAATGTGAGTTGAGACAACCAGACTACAGCAACATGTTGCAACACAGTTGCAGATATAGCTGTCATCCTCACAGGTAAATTCAATATTTAATGTATTTAAAAAATGCCACCATTTTAATAAATGTGTATTGCTACAATATGCAAGTTAGCAGAGCTGAACCTGAATGCTTTCATTATTCACTTGTTAAGAAAATGAAATACTTACTTTGAAGGTCTGCTTACAATTTAGTTATTATATGTTTATAAGCTGTTTATAAGGATACCTAGTTATTATTATTTTTTAAACAGCTGCAAATATTAACAAATCAACATGATGGGCAATCTGTCTCATTTGTAAATCCAACGTCATATAACATTACTAACCTCCTGACCATCACTCCGGCAGTACCTTGACAGGGTCGTGGATCAGTGTCCTGGTATGGCATCTCTCCTGGACCAGGCTGGTCTGATAAAGACAGATGCTGTAGAGAAGGTGGTAGCCCACATCGCAGCCCACCTGGTCCTGCTGTGTGAGGTGGCAGAGGAGCCGGAGGGACCAGAGCAGTTCACCCAGCTAGAGGGGACAGGGAGGTCCAGAGCAGTTCACCCAGCTAGAGGGGGCGGGGGGACCAGAGCAGTTCACCCAGCTAGAGGGGGCGGGGGGACCAGAGCAGTTCACCCAGCTAGAGGGGGCAGGGGGGACCAGAGCAGTTCACCCAGCTAGAGGGGGCGGGGGGACCAGAGCAGTTCACCTAGCTAGAGGGGGCAGGGAGGACCAGAGCAGTTCACCCAGCTAGAGGGGGCAGGGGGGACCAGAGCAGTTCACCCAGCTAGAGGGGGCGGGGGGACCAGAGCAGTTCACCTAGCTAGAGGGGGCAGGGAGGACCAGAGCAGTTCACCCAGCTAGAGGGGGCAGGGGGGACCAGAGCAGTTCACCCAGCTAGAGGGGGCGGGGGGACCAGAGCAGTTCACCTAGCTAGAGGGGGCAGGGAGGACCAGAGCAGTTCACCCAGCTAGAGGGGGCAGGGGGGACCAGAGCAGTTCACCCAGCTAGAGGGGGCAGGGGGGACCAGAGCAGTTCACCCAGCTAGAGGGGGCAGGGGGGACCAGAGCAGTTCAACCAGCTAGTGGGGGCAGGGGGGACCAGAGCAGTTCAACCAGCTAGTGGGGGCAGGGGGGACCAGAGCAGTTCAACCAGCTAGTGGGGGCAGGGGGGACCAGAGCAGTTCACCCAGCTAGAGGGGGCAGGGAGGACCAGAGCAGTTCAACCAGCTAGTGGGGGCAGGGGGGACCAGAGCAGTTCAACCAGCTAGTGGGGGCAGGGGGGACCAGAGCAGTTCACCCAGCTAGAGGGGGCAGGGAGGACCAGAGCAGTTCACCCAGCTAGAGGGGGCAGGGGGGACCAGAGCAGTTCACCCAGCTAGAGGGGGCAGGGGGGACCAGAGCAGTTCACCCAGCTAGAGGGGGCCGGAGGGACCAGAGCAGTTCACCCAGCTAGAGGGGACAGGAGGGCCGGAGTGACCAGAGCAGTTCAGACACATTCGGTTGAATGCATTCAGTTGTGCAACTGACTAGGTATCCCCTTTTCCCTTCCCCTGTTCTTCAACGATGCAGCGAATCCAGACGCTTGACAGTGCCACTACAGCTTCAAGTCCCCTCGAAGAGCTGGTGAATATGGTTGGACAAATCTTGGAGAGTGATTCAGTTGAAGAGTTCTATGCAGCTCTTGCTCCTAGATCTTCTCTCACAGGCTGATAGGAGGATCCAGGTTGCAAGTTTCATCAATCTAAGAGTCTACAGAACTTGGAGAACTCAAGGGCATGCCTCATGATGATGAAGGCTGGGATCGAACCTCTCGCACTGGAGTTGGATAACGACGGTTCAGACATAGAGAAGTGCTTTGAGGCTATGCAGAAACTCCACGATCTGTTTCAGAGATGGGGAAGAGGAGACCGGTCAGCTGCAGGACACTCTTTGTGACGTCCTCGACGTTAGCGAGTTCACTAGCTTGTTAGTTCACGAGATGGCTAACGACTGGGGTGAATGCGACATGGTATATAAAGCCCAGAACCACAAACTGTTCAGAGAGCATGCTTATAACCTTACCTACCACACGAAACAGGTGATTCACTCTGTTAGAAGACACTTAGACAAGAGTGACAATCCCATCCACCGCAATGGGCTCCTAGTTCTGTTGAAACAGGTTGAAGCGTCACAGGCCAAAGTGGTCAGATCTGTCATAGACACTGGTTCCAGTCTAGATGTGGATGTACACTCTGGCTTTTCAGATCACGCCTCTGTGGTGATCCAGCCCACTGCGAGAGGATGCATGCTAGCACATCTCACCCTCAGTCCAACCAACTAATCAGGCTCAAGGATCAGCTCTGGATCAGGGAGTAAGAGACCTTGGCCTTCAGTCTCCTGTTCTGGATGTTTCAGAAAGAGATTCACCAGTTGAATCTAAAGTTGAGCCCTCAGAAAAATAATTTGGAGAACCTGTGATGGTACACAGACTTCAAATATGATTTAAAGGGGCCAGCTGTTTCAGGTGAAGGGTCCTCAGCAAAGCCTGTACGGGGATTCTGGAGCTGTCAAACTGTTACGCCCAAGCCGCAAAATAAGCTTAAACTATTGTTGACGCTGTCAATAGTCAGACATTGGATATCTTCAGATCAGAGTTAGTGACCCTGACACAGTTAGTCCAGACAGCTCAGCAGACTGCGATGAGCTCAGCCATGAGCATGGACAGTCTCTACAAACACAGTACAATGTTCTCTGACCCGATCAACAATGTCAGGAAAGTCCTCTTACCAGCTGCTGGAACCTGGTACCATGCCGCTTATTCAATGTTTCAAGGTCATCTGTCGAACATGGCCATTGCTCAGAAACTCAGCGAATTTATGAGTCTGTGTGCCAATGTGGTGCAGCTGTTGACGACGTCTGATATAAACGGTACCAAGTGACTGTCAGGAGAGCTTTACGGTTTTGCACAGCAAGCTGAACTTAATAGCTCATCAATGTCAGGTCAGGTATATCAACTTGAGGGGCCTGGTATTCTGTGGGCGTGTCAGTCTAAGTTTTACTAAATTCTCTGGATGGGAACAAGGGAACCGTTGACGAGACAGTTGACCCCTCAGAAAAGGTTGACGGCCATGTCTGAGAACTCACTGCGAATCAAAGAGGCAGCAAGACTGACTACTTTAAACAATAAAAGTGCATACAAAGTGAAACAACGGACGGAATTGCAGGAGAAGTTAAAGACTCTCACTGAGGCATACTTACAGGTAGATGAGGACCTCAGCATTGTGTCCCTGTCGGTTGTCCTCCAATTTGCCAGGTCAGAACTTCAAAAGGCAGCTCCTGGGTGCTATCCGACCACTTGAACAAAGTGAATAAAGACTGTCAAAAATGTGTAAACATCGCTTATACGGCAGCCGAATTCCACAGACGTCCGAGGAGGCCCAAGAAAGATGAGACTGCTGCAGAATCGTTTTTTGAAAACGTCAAAGCCGCTACAAAGAGCGTTGAAGACTGTTTCAACTACATTCGCAACCCTCGTGCTCGGGTTAACCTGAGGTCCATCAATAATCATCTGTCCTTCTAGATCTCAGACATAGTGAGCTGAGCCAGGCTGGTAGTGGAGACCCATTGTATCACTCAGTCTGGAGATCCAGATACAGATGGTCGGCCAAGGGCTCGCTATATAGTCTAAGAGATCTATAAGGTGGATGGGCTATACCAGGAAGGAACACGTTTTTTTTTTTAGCTTTGTTCATCGTTGTCTGTCTTTTGGTAGAGTTTTTAGCTGTGTTGTCTACAGTCCCCCTTGTTTTTATTATTTTAATCACACACTGTAGTACTTTGAGATTGTTATAATGAAAATCACGGTAGAGCATGGCGCTTGCAACGCAAGGGTTGTAGGTTCGATTCCCACGGGGGGCAAGTATGAAACATTTATGCACTCACTAATTGGAAGTCGCTCTGGATAAGAGCGTCTGCTAAATAACTAAAATGTAAATATATCAAAGTTGGTCTGCAGTGTGGAACTCCAGGGGATTCCAAAGAAGGGATGACTGCGACCACTCTTTTTTTCTATTCTGAAGAGGGTTGATTACCAACCAGACATTGCCCCCTGGCAGACAACCAATTCAGAGAATATAAATACCACAGAACAGAATGCCAGTATCTGTGCTGCAATGCCCAAATATTAACCTGCGATGGCAATATGTGAGTATTAAATAGCTGATACTTTAAATATTTTAACTACATACAGTGCATTCAGAAAGTATTCAGACACCTTGACTTTTCCCACATTTTGTTATGTTACAGCCTTATTCTAAAATAGATTAAATTGTTTTTTTTCCTCATCAATCTACACACTATACCACATAATGACAAAGCAAAAACTGTTTTTTAGAAATGTTTGCAAATGTATATATGAAAAAAAACTTTAATATCACATTTACATAAGAATTCAGACCCTTTACGCAGTGCTTTGTTGAAGCACCTTTGGCAGTGATTACAGCCTCAAGTCTTCTTGGGTAAGACGCTACAAGCTTGGCACAACTGTATTTGGGGAGTTTCTCCCATTCTTCTCTGCAGATCCTCTCAAGCTCTGTCAGGTTGGATGGGGAGCGTCGCTGCACAGCTATTTTCAGGTCTCTCCAGAAATGTTCGATCAGGTTCAAGTCCAGGCTCTGGCTGGGCCACTCAAGGACATTCAGAGACTTGTCCCGAAGCCACTCCTGCGTTGTCTTGGCTGTGTGCATTTGGTCATTGTCCTGTTGGAAAGAGAACCTTCACCCCAGTCTGAGGTCAAGGATCTCTCTGTACTTTGCTCTGTTAATCTTTCCCTCGATCCTGAATAGTCTCCCAGTCCCTACCGCTGAAAAACATCCCCACAGCATGATGCTGCCACCTCCGTGCTTCACCGTAGGGAAGGTGCCAGGTTTCCTCCAGACATGACGCTTGGCGTTCAGGCCAAAGAGTTCAATCTTGGTTTCATCAGACCAGAGAATCTTGTTTCTCATGGTCTGAGAGTCCTTCAGGTGCCTTTTGGCAAACTCCAAGCGGGCTGTCATGTGCCTTTTACTGAGGAGTGGCTTCCATCTGGCCACTCTACCATAAAGGCCTGATTGGTGGAGTGCTGCAGAGATGGTTGTCCTTCTGGAAGGTTCTCCCATCTCCACAGAGGAACTCTGGAGCTCTGTCAGAGTGACCATCGGGTTCTTGGCCACCTCCCCGATTGCTCAGTTTGGCCGGGCGGCTAGCTCTAGGAAGAGTCTTGGTGGTTCCAAACTTCTTCCATTTAAGAATTATGGAGGCCACTGTGTTCTTGGGCACCTTAAATGCTGCAGACATTTTTTGGTACCCTTCCCCAGATCTGTGCCTCGATACAATCCTGTCTCGGAGCTCTACGGACAATTCCTTCGACCTGATGGCTTGGTTTTTGCTTTGACATGCACTGTCAACTGTGGGACCTGATATAGACGGGTGTGTGCCTTTCCAAATCATGTCCAATCAATTGAATTTACCACAGGTGGACTTCAATCAAGTTGTAGAAACATCTCAAGGATGATAAATGGAAACAGGATGCACCTGAGCTCAATTTCGAGTCTCTTAGCAAAGTGTCTGAAAATGTATGTACATAAGGTATTTCTGTTTTTTATTTTTAATACATTTGCAGAAATGTCTAAAAACCTGTTTTCGCTTTGTCATTATGGGGTATTGTGTGTAAATCAATGAGAAAATATATTTTAGAATAAGGCTGTAACGTAACAAAATGTGGGAAAAGGGAAGGGGTCAGAATACTTTCCGAATACACTTTATATCCTCCTATACATGAAGATTACATGTTGCATGATATCTGTATGTTGAAAATAATATAAGTTGTGTATATACATTTCCTTAGGCTATGCATAAACTCTCACAACATATAGGATGATGTCATTTATGGATAATTTTTTATTGAAGACACTGATTAAAAAGGCATTTCAACATGATGAGCATTTTAGACAATTTGATCAACCACATTGACATTATAAAACAAAACAAAATGACAAAACCCACATTACACCATTCATTAAATGCACTGCATTTATGATTCAAAAGAAACCATTTAAAATGTGACCTAATAGCATATAAAAAAAAGTAAAATTAATCTCAAACATAATAAATAATATTGAAATATAAAATCAAAAGGAAAAATAACTGAGATTATAGTTGTACTTGGTGTTCTGGTATGTCCGACTATATTCCTCATTCTCGTGTAGTTTTTTAAAAATATACTTTTATTAAAGGGTATAGACCGAAAATACTGTTTCATAAAACAACAATTTTTTAATACAGTATAATATTACATATTTTTATATAAAAGTTAAAACCTTAACACTATCCCTATCCTCCCTTTGAAAACCAATATCATTATATGCTCAAAATAATTATACTGTACATAAACCAAGTCACTGCACAGCCAACATGTCCATGTCAACTGTCCTCGCTGCCTCGACTGGTAGCCTTATACTGTATAACAACGTCCTGGACTGACAGACAGTGACTTTCTCTATCAAGTACAATACATTTAGTGACACGTGAGTCTATTCAATAAGAATTATACATACGTAATTTGTATAAGTTTCCAATCAATCTGCAGAAAAGGAAAGACAGAATATATTTAACTAAGTTGTCAATATATTTAGACACACAGGTGTGTGTGTTGATCTCTATTTCATAACAGGAGTATTTACTGACTGAAGGGGGAAGCAGTGGGGTCAAAGGTCTTGAATACCTCTTTGAGCAGCCTATCATCTTCTGTCTCCTGCTCCTTTGCTTCCTCCTCCTCCATCTTCTCCTCCTCATGCTTGGACTCCTTCTCTACCTGTTTGGCCTGTCTGGGGTCTGTGTAGGGGGGCCTGATCAGGCCTGCTAGGGCTTGGATGGGTAGGTGGTGGACAGCGGGGGCGGAGGGTTTGACTGGGGAGCTGGGGGGCTCTGACCCTGACGTCATCACTGTGGGAGCAGAGGAGAGGGTAGGATTTGGACTGTTGGACTCAGACCCATCCATGGTGCTCTCAGTACCCCCTCTGTCCTCCTGTGTGGATATGGACCTCCAGACCGGTGGGTTGGCGAGAGCAAAGATGATGATGAAGGTGGAGTGTTAGTGTTGTTTTCTCTCATGGCTGGTAGTTTGAGGATCCCAGTCTTACTCGGGGGCTCTGTCTCGTCCCGCTGGCCCAGCTGCGGTGCCTGGTTTCTGGGATCATAGAGGCTGATGCCCCCTAGCAGGGTGGAGGTGGTGGGGCTTTCTAACCCTCCACCAGAGGAGGACAGACGCCCTGGGGCGTACGGACACAGCTTCTCAGCCTCAGGTTTAGATGGAGCCGATAATGTTAAGGTAGTGGTTTTGGAGGAAGAGGAAGAAGAGGCACTGCTCCTCTGCAGCCTGGGGTCTCCTTCAGCACCTCCTCCCTCTGTCTCCCTCAGGATAGGGACCTTAGAGTCCAGAGTACCTGACCAACCTATCCTGGGGTCCTGACCTAGGGCCTTGTGTTGCCTGGAATCCAACAACCTCTCTGTTGACCCCCTGGGCTCCAGTGTCCTGGAGGGGAGCCTGCCTAGTCCTACCCCCACACCCACCAAACCCTCCTTCAGACGGACAGCGACCAGGCGAGGGTCCATGTGTGGAGGGGTGGTGGTGTTGGAGGAGGTGTGGTCAGGGGATATCATCCTTGTCCTATTGTTGGTTTGGTTCATCTGTGCGTCGGCGATGAGTGGCGGTAGAGGTATATTTATGGAGTGCTCCTGTTTGGGTACCAGTGAGGGGTTGAGGTCCTCAGCTGACCAGACCACGGTCGAGGCATAGGCCGGGCACTGTAACACGATGTCCACATGGATGTGGCTGAACTGCTGCAGCTGGCAGCACGGTTCCCGGAGTGTTACCCCTAAAAGTTCAAAGTTCAAGTTAATTTCATGGACAACAACGTTTTCTATTATTTTCCATTTCATTTCATTCATATGGCAGATGTCAGCAGGACTCGGAATTATGTGATGAATACAAATATAAAAATGATTAAATAATAGGCTAGATGACAACTACAACAAAATAAAAGCAGGCTTGAAAATATTAGGGCCATACCTGGGCAGGGATCCAACGGGATGAGTGCAGCCCTCTCTCCATCCTCCTCCCTGGCTGAAGCCTTGTGCTGCTGCTGCTGGTGATGGTGGTGGAGCTGAAGGAGTTGTGGTTTGAAGGAGCTGTGTGGCTCCTGGAGCCTCACCTTAGATTAGATTAGATTAGAAAACGTTAATGTCATCAAGGAGATTGATCTCCCGAGTGGCGCAGCGGTCTAAGGCAGTGCTTGAAGCGTCACTACAGTATGAAAATGTATGCACTCACTAACTGTAAGTCGCTCTAGATAAGAGCGTCTGCTAAATTACTAAAATGTAAAATGTACAGACCCGGGTTCGATCCCAGGCTGTGTCACAACCGGCCGTGACCGGGAGTCTCATAGGGTGGCGCACAATTGGCCCAGCATCGTCCGGGTTAGGGGAGGGTTTGGCCGGAGGGGCTTTACTTGGCTCATCGCGCTCTGGCGACTTCTTGTGGCAGGCCGGGCGCCTGCAGGCTGACTTCGTCCTCAGTTGAACGGTGTTTCCTCCGACACATAGGTGCGGCTGGTTTACGGGTTAAGCAGGCGGGTGTTAAGAAGTGCGGTTTGGCGGGTCAGGTTCGGAGGACGCATGACTTGATTTTCGCCTCCCTTGAGCCCATTGGGGAGTTTGAGCGATGAGACAAGATCGCAATTGGATATCACGAAATTGGGGAGAAAAAAGTGGTAAAAATTAATAATAATAATAATATTAGAGGAGATTGATTTAGCAGAATACAAACTCGATGTACATAGAAAGTAACAGACAAAAAAACAGAATTTAAAAACAACAGACATTAAACAGTAGGCTAGATATCTGTACCTTCCTGGGGTACAGGGCCTGTCTGGGGTCCCCGCTGGAGTTGGGCTCTTTCCTCATGTTGTCTGGGGGTCTCTGGCGGGGGTCTGCTGCCTTCATCCGGGGGTCGCTGGGTGGGGCCCGCTTCTTCTGGAGGCAAGGGTCTCCAGGGGCTACCTGGGGCCCGAGGGTGGTTTGGTGGACTGTGGCCCCTGCTGGTCCTTCTCATTCTGTTTCTTCAGACACTCGAGGATGGCTGTGACACGGTCCCCATCCTCGTCATCACTGGAGTTACCAGTTAGTAGTCATCTCAAACAGGTGTAGGGCATGGAAGTTATGTCATGATGATTATAGAGTAGAGGTTATGTCATGATGATTATACAGTAGAGGTTATGTCATGATGATTATACAGTAGAAGTTATGTCATGATGATTATACAGTAGAAGTTATGTCATGATGATTATACAGTAGAAGTTATGTCATGATGATTATACAGTAGAGGTTATGTCATGATGATTATACAGTAGAGGTTATGTCATGATGATTATACAGTGGAGGTTATGTCATGATGATTATACAGTAGAGGTTATGTCATGATGATTATACAGTAGAGGTTATGTCATGATGATTATACAGTAGAGGTTATGTCATGATGATTATACAGTAGAAGTTATGTCATGATGATTATACAGTAGAAGTTATGTCATGATGATTATCCAGTAGAAGTTATGTCATGATGATTATACAGTAGAAGTTATGTCATGATGATTATACAGTAGAAGTTATGTCATGATGATTATACAGTAGAAGTTATGTCATGATGATTATACAGTAGAGGTTATGTCATGATGATTATACAGTAGAAGTTATGTCATGATGATTATACAGTACCGTAATTTTCGGACTATAAGCCGAGCCTTTTTTCCCATTTTTCGACCCTGCGGCTTATATAACGGTGCGGCTAATCTATGGATTTTTACAGCTAACGGCCACTAGAAGACCTCCTAAATCTATGGATTTTACAGGTTACAGTCCACCAACTTTAACTCTATGGGCTCTATGACCGGTCCGCGCCCCCCACCTTTAAGCGGCGGGCTCCAGCAGGAAAAGCTGGAGGCCGGAAAAGAGTGAGACAGGTAGCGCGCAAAAGTAAAAGTGGAACCGAGAGTGGTACGAGAGACAGAACGAGAGACAGAACGAGAGCAAGACAGACAGACATTACGAGAGCGAGACAGTTTGTCTCTTTCCCGACAATCCCCTCTGTGCACGAACCCTTACATATGGTAATTAAACATTAAAACACCTGCGGCTTATAGTCCAGTGTGGCTTATAGTGCGGAAAATACGGTATAAGTTATGTCATGATGATTATACAGTATAAGTTATGTCATGATGATTATACAGTAGAAGTGTAAGTAAAATATTACCAAGCATATTGTGCAACATCTGTGAAATATGTACCCTAGTTAAATGGTCATGTTTGCTGATGAGTACAAGACTGCTTTAATTTGCTGTAAGTCTAAATAAACCTTCACACTCAGTTTTGGGGGTCTTGCCACCTTGTTCCTCAAAACCTTGTGGATCACTGCCCTGCTGTAGCTGCTGCTGTTGGTGTAGGAACAGGGCCTTCTGCACTGCAGGGGGTAGGTCCTGCATCTGGGACTGTACTGCAGGGGGTAGGTCCTGCATCTGGGACTGTACTGCAGGGGGTAGGTCCTGCATCTGGGACTGTACTGCAGGGGGTAGGTCCTGCATCTGGGACTGCACTGCAGGGGGTAGGTCCTGCATCTGGGACTGCACTGCAGGGGCTAGGTCCTGCATCTGGGACTGCACTGCAGGGGGTAGGTCCTGCATCTGGGACTGCACTGCAGGGGGTAGGTCCTGCATCTGGGACTGCACTGCAGGGGGTAGGTCCTGCATCTGGGACTGCACTGCAGGGGGTAGGTCCTGCATCTGGGACTGCACTGCAGGGGGTAGGTCCTGCATCTGGGACTGCACTGCAGGGGGTAGGTCCTGCATCTGGGACTGTACTGCAGGGGGTAGGTCCTGCATCTGGGACTGTACTGCAGGGGGTAGGTCCTGCATCTGGGACTGTACTGCAGGGGGTAGGTCCTGCATCTGGGACTGTACTGCAGGGGGTAGGTCCTGCATCTGGGACTGTACTGCAGGGGGTAGGTCCTGCATCTGGGACTGTACTGCAGGGGGTAGGTCCTGCTTCTGGGACTGTACTGCATGGGGGTAAGTCCTGCATCTGAGACAGCATCTGGGAGACAGCACTCCCCTGCTGTTGGGAGGTGTTCTGACTGAAGGGCTTACCCCCTACTGGAGAGAGGAGGTGGGGAGATAAGAGGGTGGAATAAACAGAGAATGAGAGGTTTTAATGAATCAACATCTGCTAACACAATGAAAGAACTGAATATAAAAAAGGAAAGCTACAACAGAATAGAATACAACAGAATAGAATATGAGAATTGTGAGGAGAATTTAGACTGAAAACCCACATACAGTGCATTCGGAAAATATTTAGACCCCTTGACTTTTTTCCACATTTTGTTATGTTACAGCCTTATTCTAAAATTGATTAAACAAAAATGTTCCCTCATCAATCTACACACAATACCCCATAATGACAAAGTGAAAACAGGTTTTAAGGAATGTTTTCATATTTATAAAATAAAAACAACTGAAATCCCTTATTTACATAAGTATTTAGACCCTTTGCTATGAGACTCTAAATTGTGCTCAGGTGCTTCCTGTTTCTACAACTTGATTGGAGTCCACCTGTGGTACATTCAATTGATTGGACATGATTTGGAAAGGCACACAACTGTACAGTGAGGGAAAAAAGTATTTGATCCCCTGCTGATTTTGTACATTTGCCCACTGACAAAGAAATGATCAGTCTATAATTTTAATGGTAGGTTTATTTGAACAGTGAGAGACAGAATAACAACAAAAAAATCCAGAAAAACGCATGTCAAAAATGTTATAAATTGATTTGCATTTTAATGAGGGAAATAAATGTTTGACCCCCTCTCAATCAGAAAGATTTCGGGCTCCCAGGTGTCTTTTATACAGGTAACGAGCTGAGATTAGGAGCACACTCTTAAAGGGAGTGCTCCTAAACTCAGCTTGTTACCTGTATAAAAGACACCTGTCCACAGAAGCAATCAATCAATCAGATTCCAAACTCTCCACCATGGCCAAGACCAAAGAGCTCTCCAAGGATGTCAGGGACAAGATTGTAGACCTACACAAGGCTGGAATGGGCTACAAGACCATCGCCAAGCAGCTTGGTGAGAAGGTGACAACAGTTGGTGTGATTATTCGCAAATGGAAGAAACACAAAATAACTGTCAATCTTCCTCGGCCTGGGGCTCCATGCAAGATCTCACCTCGTGGAGTTGCAATGATCATGAGAACGGTGAGGAATCAGCTCAGAACTACACGGGAGGATCTTGTCAATGATCTCAAGGCAGCTGGGACCATATTCACCAAGAAAACAATTGGTAACACATTACGCCGTGAAGGACTGAAATCCTGCAGTGCCCGTAAGGCCCCCCTGCTCAAGAAAGCACATATGCATGCCCATCTGAAGTTTGCCAATGAACATCTGAATGATTCAGAGGAGAACTGGGTGAAAGTGTTGTGGTCAGATGAGACCAAAATCGAGCTCTTTGGCATCAACTCAACTCGCCGAGTTTGGAGGAGGAGGAATTCTGCCCATGACCCCAAGAACACCATCCCCACCGTCAAACATGGAGGTGGAAACATTATGCTTTGGGGGTGTTTTTCTGCTAAGGGGACAGGACAACTTCACCACATCAAAGGGACGATGGACGGGGCCATGTACCGTCAAATCTTGGGTGAGAACCTCCTTCCCTCAGCCAGAGCATTGAAAATGGGTCGTGGATGGGTATTCCAGCATGACAATGACCCAAAACACACAGCCAAGGCAACAAAATAGTGGCTCAAGAAGAAGCACATTAAGGTCCTGGAGTGGCCTAGCCAGTCTCCAGACCTTAATCCCAGAGAAAATCTGTGGAGGGAGCTGAAGGTTCGAGTTGCCAAATGTCAGCCTCGAAACCTTAACGACTTGGAGAAGATCTGCAAAGAGGAGTGGGACAAAATCCTTCCTGAGATGTGTGCAAACCTGGTGGCCAACTACAAGAAACGTCTGACCTCTGTGATTGCCAACAAGGGTTTTACCACCAAGTACTAAGTCATGTCTTGCAGAGGGGTCAAATACTTATTTCCCTCATTAAAATGCAAATCAATTGATAACATTTTTGACATGCGTTTTTCTGGATTTTCTTGTTGTTATTCTGTCTCTCACTGTTCAAATAAAGCTACCATTAAAATTATAGACTGATCATTTCGTTGTCAGTGGGCAAACGTACAAAATCAGCAGGGGATCAAATACTTTTTTTCCCTCACTGTATGTACATTTATAAGGTCCCACAGTTGACAGTGGATGTCAGAGCAAAAATCAAGCCATCAGGTCGAAGTAATTGTCTGTAGAGCTCCGACACAGGATTGTCTCGAGGCACAGATCTGGGGAAGGGTACCAAAAAATGTCTGCAGCATTGAAGTCCCCCAAGAACACAGTGGCCTCCGCCATTCTTAAATGGAAGAAGTTTGGAACCACCAAGACTCTTCCTAGAGCTGGCCGCCCGGACAAACTGAGCAATCGGAGGAGAAGGGCCTTGGTCAGGGAGGTGACCAAGAACCCGATGGTCACTCTGACAGAGCTCCAGAGTTCCTCTGTGGAGATGGGAGAATCTTCCAGAAGGACAACCATCTCTGCAGCACTCCACCAATCAGACCTTTATGGTAGTGGCCAGATGGAAGCCACTCCTCAGTAAAAGGCACATGACAGTCCGCTTGACATTTGCCACAAAGCACCTAAAGACTCTCAGACCATGAGAAACAAGATTCTTTGGTCTGATGAAACCAAGATTGAACTCTTTGGCCTGAATGCCAAGCGTCAAGTCTGGAGGAAACCTGGCACCATCCCTACGGTGAAGCATGGTGGTGGCAGCATCATGCTGTGGGATGTTTTTCAGCGGCAGGGACTGGGAGACTAGTCAGGATCGAGGGAAAGATGAACAGAGTAAAGTACAGAGAGATCCTTGATGAAAACCTGCTCCAGAGCAGTCTGGACTTCAGACTGGGATGAAGGTTCACCTTCCAAAAGGACAACGACCCTAAGCACACAGCCAAGACAACGCAGGAGTGGCTTCGGGACAAGTCTCTGAATGTCCTTGAGTGGCCCAGCCTGAGCCCGGACTTGAACCCGATCGAACATCTCTGGAGAGACCTGAAAATAGCTGTGCAGTGACGCTCCCCATCCAACCGGACAGAGCTTGAGAGGATCTGCAGAGAAGAATGGGGAAAACTCCCCAGATACAGGTGTGCCAAGCTTGTAGCGTCATACCCATGAAGACTTGATGCTGTAATTGCTGCCAAAGGTGTACTGAGTAAAGAGTCTGAATACTAATGTAAATGTGTTATTTCCGTTTTTTATTTTTAATACATTTGCTAAAGTTTCTACAAACCTGTTTTTGCTTTGTCATTATTGGGTATCGTGTGTAAATTGATGAGGGGGAAAAAAACAATTTAATCCATTTTAGAATAAAACTGTAACGTAACAAAATGTGGAAATATTCAAGGGGTCTGAATACTTTACGAATGCACTGTATTGTGTACTTAGTTCAATCACAGCCAAATTGATGGCTGTTATAAAATACATTTATCCATGTATCATTGTAATACCAACCTCCGTGGCCCATGGCCTGAGCCTGGTTCCTGAAGAAGTTGTTGAAGAACTCCCATGGCTTGGAACGGCGTGTTCATGTTCTGAAGCATCTCCATTGGGTCTGGGAACGGAGGGAACGGCGGAGGGGGTCTCTGGAGGTCCATGTTCATATTGGAGTTCATATTCATATTGGGGTTCATATTAGGTCGGTGACCCAGGAAGGGCGGTGGCGGACCTGGAGGCAGGAATAAACAGCAAATGAGGGTTAGGGTTAGGTGGTGGCATGGGGAACAAGCTAGTAGTTACCTGGAGGTGGTGGCATGGGGAACAAGCTAGTAGTTACCTGGAGGTGGTGGAATGGGGAAACCGTGGGGTGGTTGTTGTTGGAGGTGCTGTCCAGGGGGGCTCTGCTGTTGCTGCATTGGTGGCCCAGTGTGAGATGGATAGGGAGGAGAGGGACCCCCCATGGAGCCAGGGGGAGATCCCGGAGGGGGGACAGGGGGTGGGCTGTTGGGTCCACTCTGCTGCATGTTGTCATTGGGACCCCCTCCACCAAACTCATCACCTTGAAACTGGTCTCTGGACTGAGAGTTGAAATTGGACCCACTGCAACGCAAAACATATGCATTATTAATTCCGGTCATTTTTTAATTACATTTCAATGGGATAACGTAGAATATAGACAAATACAGTGGGGAAAAAAAGTATTTAGTCAGCCACCAATTGTGCAAGTTCTCCCACTTAAAAAGATGAGAGAGGCCTGTAATTTTCATCATAGGTACACGTCAACTACGACAGACAAATTTAGAAAAAAAATCCAGATAATCACATTGTAGGATTTGTAATGAATTTATTTGCAAATTATGGTGGAAAATAAGTATTTGGTCACCTACAAACAAGCAAGATTTCTGGCTCTCACAGACCTGTAACTTCTTCTTTAAGTGGCTCCTCTGTCCTCCACTCGTTACCTGTATTAATGGCACCTGTTTGAACTTGTTATCAGTATAAAAGACACCTGTCCACAACCTCAAACAGTCACACTCCAAACTCCACTATGGTCAAGACCAAAGAGCTGTCAAAGGACACCAGAAACAAAATTGTAGACCTGCACCAGGCTGGGAAGACTGAATCTGCAATAGGTAAGCAGCTTGGTTTGAAGAAATCAACTGTGGGAGCAATTATTAGGAAATGGAAGACATACAAGACCACTGATAATCTCCCTCGATCTGGGGCTCCACGCAAGATCTCACCCCGTGGGGTCAAAATGATCAGAAGAACGGTGAGCAAAAATCCCAGAACCACACGGGGGGACCTAGTGAATGACCTGCAGAGAGCTGGGACCAAAGTAACAAAGACTACCATCAGTAACACACTACGCCGCCAGGGACTCAAATCCTGCAGTGCCAGACGTGTCCCCCTGCCAGTACATGTCCAGGCCCGTCTGAAGTTTGCTAGAGTGCATTTGGATGATGCAGAAGAGGATTGGGAGAATGTCATATGGTCAGATGAAACCAAAATAGAACTTTTTGGTAAAAACTCAACTCGTCGTGTTTGGAGGACAAAGAATGCTGAGTTGCATCCAAAGAACACCATACCTACTGTGAAGCATGGGGGTGGAAACATCATGCTTTGGGGCTGTTTTTCTGCAAAGGGACCAGGACGACTGATCCGTGTAAAGGAAAGAATGAATGGGGCCATGTATCGTGAGATTTTGAGTGAAAACCTCCTTCCATCAGCAAGGGCATTGAAGATGAAACGTGGCTGGGTCTTTCAGCATGACAATGATCCCAAACACACCGCCCGGGCAACGAAGGAGTGGCTTCGTAAGAAGCATTTCAAGGTCCTGGAGTGGCCTAGCCAGTCTCGAGATCTCAACCCCATAGAAAATCATTGGAGGGAGTTGAAAGTCTGTGTTGCCCAGCGACAGCCCCAAAACATCACTGCTCTAGAGGAGATCTGCATGGAGGAATGAGCCAAAATACCAGCAACAGTGTGTGAAAACCTTGTGAAGACTTACAGAAAACGTTTGACCTGTGTCATTGCCAACAATGGGTATATAACAAAGTATTGAGAAACTTTTGTTATTGACCAAATACTTATTTTCCACCATAATTTGCAAATAAATTCATAAAAAATCCTACAATGTGATTTTCTGGAATTGTTTTTCTCATTTTGTCTGTCATAGTTGACGTGTACCTATGATGAAAATTCCAGGCCTCTCTCATCTTTTTAAGTGGGAGAACATGCACAACTGGTGGCTGACTAAATACTTTTTTTCCCCACTGTATATATGTATTATACAGTTGAAGTCGGAAGTTTACATACACTTAGGTTGGAGGATTAAAACTAGTTTTTCAACCACTATAGTTTGGGCAAGTCGGTTAGGACATCTGCTTTGTGCATGACACAAGTAATTTTTCCAACAATTGTTTACAGACAGATTATTTCACTTATAATTCACTGTATCACAATTCCAGTGTGTCAGAAGTTTACATACACTAAGTTGACTGTGCCTTTAAAAAGCTTGGAAAATTCCAGAAAATGATGTCATGGCTTTAGAAGCTTCTGATAGGCTAATTTACATAATTTGAGTCAATTGGAGGTGTACCTGTGGATGTATTTCAAGGCCTACCTTCAAACTCAGTGCCTCTTTGCTTGAATTGTGATACATGGGAAAATCAAAAGAAATCAGCCAAGAACTCAGAAAAAAAATTGTAGACCTCCACAAGTCTGGTTCAGCCTTGGGAGCAATTTCCAAATGCCTGAAGGTACCACGTTCATCTGTACAAACAATAGTACGCAAGTATAAACACCATGGGACCACGCAGCCGTCATACCGCTCAGGAAGGAGATGCGTTCTGTCTCCCAGAGATGAACGTACTTTGGTGCAAATCAATCCCAGAACAACAGCAAAGGACCTTATGAAGATGCTGGAGGAAACAGGTACAAAAGTATCTATATCCACAGTAAAACAAGTCCTATATCAACATAAACTGAAAGGCCGCTCAGCAAGGAAGAAGCCACTGCTCCAAAACCGCCATAAAAAAGCCAGACTACGGTTGGCAACTGCACATGGGGACAAAGAACGTACTTTTTGGAGAAATGTCCTCTGGTCTGATGAAAGAAAAATAGAACTGTTTGGCCATAATGACCATCGTTATGTTTGGAGGAAAAAGGGGGATCTTGCAAGCCGAATAACACCATCCCAACCGTGAAGCATGGGGGTGGCAGCATCATGCTGTGGGGGTGCTTTGCTGCAGGAGGGACTGGTGCACTTCGCAATATAAATGGCATCATGAGGAAGGAAAATTATGTGGATATATTGAAGCAACATCTCAAGACATCGGGTCAGGAAGTTAAAGCTTGGTCGCAAATGGGTCTTCCAAATGGACAATGACCCCAAGCATACTTCCAAAGTTGTGGCAAAATGCCTTAAGGACAACAAAGTCAAGGTATTGGAGTGGCCATCACAAAGCCCTGACCTCAATCCTATAGAACATTTGTGGGCAGAACTGAAAAAGCATGTGTGAGCAAGGAGGCCTACAAACCTAACTCAGTTACACCAGCTCTGTCAGGAGGAATGGGCCAAAATTCACCCAACTTATTGTGGGAAGCTTGTGGAAGGCTACCCGAAACACTTGACCCAAGTTAAACAATTTAAAGGCAATGCTACCAAATACTAATTGAGTGTATGTAAACTTCTGACCCACTGGGAATGTGATGAAAAATAAAAGCTGAAATATATCATTCTCTCCACTATTATTCTGACATTTCACATTCTTAAAATAAAGTGGTGATCCTAACTGACCTAAGACAGGGAATTCTTACTAGGATTAAATGTCAGGAATTGTGAAAAACTGAGTTTAAATATATTTGGCTAAGGTGTATGTAAACTTCCGACTTCAACTGTATATATGATTTACAATATAACGTTCTATATTATATAGAATCATAAATCGTTATGTTATTTATAGCTAACAGAAACCTTTCCATTTTATTGAAGAGTACATGAGCACGTCAGGTAACAGTAGTTACCTTTGAGCCATCTTCTGAGACAAGTCCACCGTAGGCTTAACCACGATCTCAAACAGAGAGGGGATATTTCTTCCCCCAGAATTCCCCCCACTACTTCCCCCCTCCTGTGGGCTGGAGGGTCCAGGGCAAGGACCAGGGTTAGGACCTCCAGACCCAGGACCACCGGGGCCCAGCGTGGGCAGCAGCCCCACCCCAGGAGGGGGTTTAGGCAGGGGGACGATCCCCTGTTTCCTCAGGTCCTCCAACTCCATCTCATCGTCATGGGCGATCTCCTCCTCTGTGTTGATGATCTGAAGATGATTCGTAGGACACAAAATGAACCAAACAATCTGATGCAATAGCTATACTCTTCACTTTGTGGCCGTGGGTAGAGACCTAGTGACTTGTTAACCACTGTTCTGGTATCAGACTACTGACAGATCTTGCTGTAATGTCACTATTTATATCCAGGCACAACCACTACATTCTTAGTGCAATAGTGTTTAGAAGAACGTTTAGACCGATATTATTTCAGTTTGTGGCGTTTATGATTATTAACTTTTTCTTACCTTATCAAGCAGGTCTTTGGTCACGTCATTCAAAGGATCGTGGAATAATTTACAGTTGTCTCCCTGATAACACTTGGCTCCAGTATGAAATAACTTCCAGGGATATTCACGTCCGGCCACAAGTCAAGGACAAGTATGGAGGAATAAGTGTATTACAATTGTCTGTTTTTATGTGCTGAACCCAAAGACACATTTCCACATTGTGTGGACAATAATGTATTTCTAATTATAATTATAAAGAATACATCAAAGTTTAAACCTGGAATCAAGACTCAAATATTATTAAACATATTACATTGCATATCTATAAAGGACATCACCTATTTATCTCACATACTATAACACACATATTACACAGTGGTTTATAAAGACATTTGTTTCCATCTTTAACCTAGCCAATATATCTGAAGGCCATCTACTGACCCCTTGAGTCATCATGACTAAACACATAAGGGAAGTGAACTAATTCATCTCCTTTGACCATGATCAGATAAGTGTAAACCTTCTAAAGGTGGAATAATGTGTTCATTCCAGGGTTTGGGTCCATTTCAATCCAGTCATTTCAGGAATAAATTGGAACTAAAATTCCAATCCATTGCTTATCAAATAGGAAATAGGAATTTCAGTTTACTTCATGAATTAACAATGAAATGGAATTGACCCCAACCCAGGTTCATTCCACTCAAAGACACAGACAAATCCAGAATATTTGCTGGTGATCCATATTGAAGGATATTGTGAATGTAGATGCAGTTGTCTCCTTTAAGGCAGTATCCTTGGAGGTTGAATTTACACAGCTCCTTCTTCTTGTCTAGGGTAACCAGCTCGTGTTTGAACATACATTGGTCCCCCTGAGGAAACAGAGAAGACAGTTTGAGGGTGTGTATGAGGTGTGAGAGACAGAGATAGAGTACAAGATCGTTTTTTAAAAGCAAATCAGAATAACAGCATTAAAAGTGAATTGATTTACTCTGCGCTGTCATGAAACTAACACAATATAAGCAGTTCATAGATACTTATGACAAGGCTTATAATGAATTATGAGTGCATCATAATGCATTTTACCTGTAGACCTTTTGGTAGTGTAATCTACATTTCTGTTCTTACATTTCTGTTGTTACATTCATCTCAGAGGTGCTGACTTGACTTGTCTTACCTTAATGCATTGTCCCTCCAGGAAGTATTTACCTTAATGCATCATCCCTCCAGGAAGTATTTACCTTACTGCAACGTCCCTCCAGGAAGTATTTACCTTAATGCATCGTCCCTCCAGGAAGTATTTACCTTAATGCATCGTCCCACCAGGAAGTATTTACCTTAATGCATTGTCCCTCCAGGAAGTATTTACCTTAATGCATTGTCTCTCCAGGAAGTATTTACCTTACTGCAACGTCCCTCCAGGAAGTATTTACCTTAATGCATCGTCCCTCCAGGAAGTATTTACCTTAATGCATCGTCCCTCCAGGAAGTATGTACCTTAATGCATTGTCCCTCCAGGAAGTATTTACCTTAATGCATCGTCCCTCCAGGAAGTATTCACCTTAATGCATCATCCCTCCAGGAAGTATTTACCTTAATGCATCGTCCCTCCAGGAAGTATTTACAGATGTATCTCCCGAGTGGCGCAGTGGTCTAAGGCACTGCATCGCAGTGCTAGCTGTGCCAATAGAGATCTTGCTTCGAATCCAGGCTCTGTCGTAGCTGGCCGCGACCGGGAGACCCATGGGGCGGCGCACAATTGGCCCAGCATCGTCCAGGGTAGGGGGTAGGGAATGGCCGGCAGGGATGTAGCTCAGTTGGTAGAGCATGGCGTTTGCAACGCCAGGGTTATGAGTTCGATTCCCACGGGGGGCCAGTATGAAAAATATAAAAAATAATGTATGCACTCACTAACTGTAAGTCGCTCTGGATAAGAGCGTCTGCTAAATGACTTAAATGTAAATGTGCTCCACCGTATGTTGGTTGATGAACTCCTTGATCATGATGGGATGCTTCTTCTGAAAACCCCCAGGACCCTTCCCCTGTCCCTCCTATTGTATAAGACAATCAAAGGGACAACATGTATAGGTCTGAAGGTAACAATACTAGATATAATAGTAGGAAGCTATCTTTGCCCTGACGTTTCTTCTGAAAACCACCAGGAGGGCCCTTAATTTCTTTCCTATAGACAAGGTCACCAAACACAAGACAAGGCAAGGTCTAAACTCCTAAACCAACTGAGGTACATTCTAACAATTCTAGCGTTCTTTCTCAATTAATCCTTCCTAGATTCCTCTCATCTTCTCTCCTCATCACCTTCTCAAACGGCATTGGAGAAGATCCAAGGTCCCTCCCCTCTGACCTTCTTCTAGGAGGTGAGGAGAGAGGATGCAAGAAATCGAGGAAAGAAAAATTGGAAAAGAGCCTGGATCGCATTTTAAAGAGCCATCTTAGGAAGCCATCTTTGTTCCTTACCTGCTTCATCCCCTCCCCGGCCTGCTCGGCCCCTCCCCCTCTCTCCCGACCACACCCCCAGTTTTTGTTGCCCTGCATCTGCTTCTTGTTGTACTTGTTGAGCATATTGCCCCGCCACCTTCCTCCCACTGCTCCTCTTCTGCCCCTCTTCCGCTGACCACCAACTGAAAAACACAACAACCATTCAATCAAATCAAATCAAATCAAATCAAACGTTATTTGCCATATGCGCCGAATACAACAGGTGTAGGTAGACCTTACAGTGAAATGAATACTTACAAGCCCTTAACCAACAATGCAGTTTTTAAGAAAATTAAAAAAAGTGTTATAATAAAAATGGATAAGTAAAAAATAAAAATAGCAAATAATTAAAGAGCAGCAGTAAAATAAAATAACAGTAGGGAGGCTATATACAGGGGGTACCAGTACAGAGTCAATGTGCCGGTTAGTCGAGGTAATTGAGGTAGTATGTAAATGTGGGTAGAGTTAAAGTGACTATGCATAGATAATAAACAGAGTAGCAGCAGCGTAAAAGAGGGGGTGGGGGAGCAATGCAAATAGTCCAGGTAGCCATGATTAGCTGTTCAGGAGTCTTATGGCTTGGAGGTAGAAGCTGTTAAGAAGCCTTTTGGACATAGACTTGGCGCTCTGGTACCGCTTGCCATGCGGTAACAGAGAGAACAGTCTATGACTAGGGTGGCTGGAGTCTTTGACAATTTTTAGGGTCTTCCTCTGACACCGCCTGGTATAGAAGTCCTGGATGGCAGGAAGCTTGGCCCCAGTGATGTACTGGGCCGTACGCACTACCCTCTGTAGTTGCCATACCAGGCGGTGATGCAATCAGTCAGGATGCACTCGATGATGCAGCTGTATAACTTTTTGAGGATCTGAGGACCCATGCCAAATCTTTTCAGTCTCCTGAGGGGGAATAGGCTTTGTCGTGCTCTCTTCATGACTGTCTTGGTGTGTTTGGACCATGATAGTTTGTTGGTGATGTGGACACCAAGGAACATGATGCTCTGTCCTCTTTTTTTCCCCCTGTAGTCCACAATCATCTCCTTTGTCTTGATCATGTTGAGGGAGAGGTTGTTATCCTGGCACCACATGGCCAGGTGTCTGACCTCCTCCCTATAGGCTGTCTCATCGTTGTCGGTGATCAGGCCTACCACTGTTGTGTCATCGGTAAACTTAATGATGGTATTGGAGTCGTGCCTGGTCATGCAGTCATGGGTGAACAGGGAGTACAGGAGGGGACTGAGCACGCACCCCTGAGGGGCCCCCGTGTTGAGGATCAGCGAGGCAGATGTGTTGTTACCTACCCTTACCACCTGGGGGCGGCCCATCAGGAAGTCCAGGATCCAGTTGCAGAGTGAGGTGTTTAGTCCCAGGGTCCTTAGCTTAGTGATGAGCTTTGAGGGCACTATGGTGTTGAACGCTGAGCTGTAGTCAAGGAATAGCATTCTCATGTAGGGGTTCCTCTTGTCCAGGTGGGAAAGGGCAGTGTGGAGTGCAATAGAGATTGCATCATCTTAACAGTGGTCCTCTGTAGCTCAGCTGGTAGAGCACGGCGCTTGTAACGCCAAGGTAGTGGGTTCGATCCCCGGGACCACCCGTACACAAAAAAAATTATGCACGCATGACTGTAAGTCGCTTTGGATAAAAGCGTCTGCTAAATGGCATATTATATTATATTATTATTATTATCATCTGTGGATCTGTTGGGGTGGTATGCAAATTGGAGTGGGTCTAGGGTTTCTTGGATAATGGTGTTGATGTGAGCCATGACCAACCTTTCAAAGCACTTCATGGCTACATTAAAAGTCAGAACGATAGGATCTAAGACGTAGATCTTTGTAAAACATTTATGTAAGCTGCAATAAAATAAAAACCACATTTGTCAGAGGTGATATGAAAATCCAAAATGGACACACACTTTACACTACTATAGCCACTAGACTGTTAACCTCGACAAACTTGAATACCATTTGACAAGACCCTTCAACACAGTCCATACATACACTGCTGTTTCTGCATGACCTTCTGCATGACTTTTATGCCACCTCACTTCATCTGGCCCAGGCCTTGTCCAGGAGACGTTGAGTCTTTCACCTGCCACATCTCCTCCACATCATAATCATCCCCCTCTCCCTCATAGTCATACTTGTCTTCGCTGTAGTCGCTGTACTTGTCATAGTCACCGCTAGCGCTCCTGTGTCGGCCTGGCGGCCTCTCTGACTTCTGTGGGTTGCCATGGCCACTGCTTGATGGATCACGCCCATGCTTGGGAAGAGTCAGTCAGAAGAGACAGTAATGTTATTATTGAAAAGGTATTGCGTATGGTTTGTGTACATTCTGATAAAACAAACCCAGGGTTACACTTTAAATGAAACTTAATGAATAAGCCAATATAAATGTTTGTACAATACGCCTTCAGAAAGTATTCATACCCCTTGACTTATTCCACATTTTGTTTGTTTGCCTGAATTCAAAATGTATTAAATAGATTACTTTTTTCTCACCCATCTACACACAATACCTATAAAGATTTACGTTCCAACAGGACAATGACCCCAAGCATACAGCCAAAGCGACGCTGCAATGGCTTCAGAACTAGAACGTGAAAGTCTGTGAGTGGCCCAGACTTGAATCCCATTGAAAATATGTGGAAAGACTTGAAGATTGCTGTTAACACCCGCTCCCCATCTAACTTAACAGAGCTTGAGAAAATCTGCAAGGAATAATGGGAGAAAATCCCCAAATCCAGATATGTAAAGCTGATACAAACATACCCAAGATGACTCAAAGCTGTAATCGCTGCCAAAGGTGCTTCTACAAAGTATTGACTCAGGGGTGTGAATACTTATGTAAATGAGATATTTCTCTATTTCATTTTAAATACATTTGCAAAATGTTCTAAAAACATGTTTTCACTTATTATTATTATTATTGTGTGTACATGGGTAAGAACAAAAATGAATTTAATCCATTTTGAATTAAGTATGTATGTAACACAAGTCAATGGGAATGAATACTTTCTGAAGGCATTCCATGCCTATAAATACTTGTAATACAATAAATGTAAATGATTATGAACTTTAATGCTTATAAATTCTTTATAATTATAAATGTTCTAAATGCTTATGCATTGTAATGTGTATAAATGTTAGCAAATAATGAAATATGTACCTGAGCTGACACCACCACGGTGTGGCCTGTCTTGGTTCTTCTTGTTCTTGGGCTTGTCTCTCTCTGGTCTCTCTCTGGTCTCTCTCTGGTCTCTCTGGTCTCTCTCTGGTCTCTCTGGTATCTCCAGGGAGGAGTCATAGCTGTCAGAACTGAAGCTACTGGAAAGGGAGCAGTGCTGGGAAAGAGAGAGAATATTTAACATGGTATTCTGACTTGGGACTGCGAGATTCACACATATTTTCAGTCTCCCATTGACATCCCAATGATGATCAACAAACAAAAGTTTTAGTTATAAGTGCATATGAGATATTATCTGAAACAGGTCCATAGAGAATAACAAAGGAAGAAGAAAATATCATGTCTAAGATAAATCAATTTGTAGGCCTAAAGGTAAATTAAGTCAAATGAAAACCTGAAGGTCAACACTAAGATCAAAATCGAAAGCAGAGTTGTAGGATTTTTCAAACAGATCATATTTCTGAATGTATTTTTGGAGTACTGTATTTACACTATGGCAGCTGTTGACGTCATGATTCTGGTCTTACTTTCCGACTATCGCGTCTACTCTTCCTGACCATTCTCTTCCTGTTCTTTTCTCTTCCTGTTCTTTCTCTTCCTATTCTTTCTCTTCCTGGCCTTTGACTTCCTGGCCTTCCTGGCCTTTCTCTTCCTGGCCGTCCTCTTCCTGGCCTTTCTCTTCCTATCCTTCCTGTCCTTTCTCTTCCTGTCCTTTCTCTTTCTGTCCTTTCTCTTCCTGTTCTTTCTCTTCCTGGTCTTTCTCTTTCTGGCCTTTTTCTTTCTGGACTTCCTGGCCTTTCTCTTCCAGGCCTTTCTCTTCCAGGCCTTTCTCTTCCTGTCCTTTCTCTCCTGGCATTTATCTTCCTGTCTTTCTCTTCCTGGCCTTTCTCTTCCTTTTCTTTCTCTTCCTTTTCTTTCTCTTCCTGTCCTTTCTCTTCCTGTCTTTTATCCCCATGGCCTTTCTCTTCCTGTCCTTTCTCTTCCTGGTCTTTCTATTCCTGACCGTTCTCTTCCTTTTCTTTCTCTTCCTGGCTTGCTCTTCCTTTTCTTTCTCTTCCTGGCCTTTCTCTTCCTGTCCTTCCTCTTCCTGGCCTTTTTCTTCTTGAACCCACTCTTCCTCTTCTTTATCTTCCTGGCCTTTATCTTCCTGGCCTTCCTGGCCTTTCTTTTCCTGGCCTTTCTCTTCCTGGCCTTCCTGGACATTCTTTTCCTGGCCTTTCTCTTCCTGGCCTTTCTCTTCCAGTTTTTTCCTCTTCCTGGCCTTTCTTTTCCTGGCCTTTTCTCTTCCTGGCCTTTTACTTCCTGGCCCTTTTACTTCCTGGCCTTCCTGTCTTTCTCTTACTGTCCATTCTAATCCTGGCCTTTCACTTTCTTGCCTTTCGGTCTTTTTCTCTTCCTGGCCTTCTCTTCCTGGCCTTCTTGTCCTTCTCTTCCTGGCCTTCCTGTCCTTTCTCTTCCTGTTCTTTCTCTTTCTGGCCTTTCTCTTTCTGGCCTTCCTGGCCTTTCTCTTCATGACCTTTCTCTTCCTGGCCTTTCTCATCCTGGCATTCCTGGCCTTATCTTCCTGGCCTTTATCTTCCTGTCCTTTCTCATCCTGGCATTTCTCTTCCTGTCCTTTCTATTCCTGGCCTTTTTGTCCCTTCTCTTCTTGGCCTTTCCTCTCCTGTCCTTTCTGTTCCTGTTCTTTCTCTTCCTGTAATTTCTCTTCCGGGCATTTCTCTTTCGATCCATTCTCTTTCTGGCCTTTTCTTCCTGGCCTTACTCTTCCTGTCCTTTCTCTTTCTGGTATTCCTGGCCTTTCTCTTTCTGGCCTTTCTCTTCCTGTCTTTTCTCTTCCTGGCCTTTCTTTTCCTGTCCTTTCTCTTCCTGGCCTTTTACTTCCTGGCCCTTTTACATCTTGGCCTTCCTGTCCTTTCTCTTACTGTCCATTCTATTCCTGGCCTTTCACTTTCTTGCCTTTCAGTCTTTTTCTCTTCCTGGCCTTCCTGTCCTTCCTGTCCTTTTTATTCCTGTCCTTCCTCTTCCCTGCCTTCCTGGCCTTTCTCTTCCTGGCCTTCCTGTCCTTTCTCCTCCTGGCCTTCCTGCCCATTCTCTTCCTGGCCTTTCTGCCCATTCTCTTCCTGGCCTTTCCTTTCTCTTCCTATTCTTCCTGGCCTTCCTTTTCATGGCCTTTCGCTTCCTGGCCTTTCTCTTCCTGGCCTTTCTCCTCCTTGCCTTCCTGGCCTTACTCTTCCTGGCCTTCCTGGCCTTTCTCTTCCTGGCATTCCTGTCTTTCTTTTCCTGGCCCTTCTCTTCCTGTCTTTTTTCTTCCTGCCCTTCCTGTCCTTTCTCTTTCTGTTCTTTCTCTTTCTGGCCTTTCTCTTTCTAGCCTTCCTGGCCTTTCTCTTCATGGCCTTTTCTTATCCTGGCTTTTCTCATCCTGCCATTCCTGACCTTCCTCTTCCTGGCCTTTATCTTCCTGTCCTTTCTCATCCTGGCATTTCTCTTCTTGGCCTTTCTCTTCCTGTCCTTTCTGTTCCTAGTCTATCTCTTCCTGTCCTTTCTCTTCCGGGCCTTTCTCTTTCGGTCCTTTCTCTTCCTGGCCTTTCTCTTCCTTTTCTTTCTCTTCCTATTCTTTCTCTTCCTGTTCTTTCTCTTCCTGTCTTTTCTCCCCATGGCCTTTCTCTTTCTGTCCTTTCTCTTCCTGGCCATTCTCTCCCTTTTTTTCTCTTCCTGGCTTTGCTCTTCCTAATCTTTCTCTTCCTGGCCTTTTTCTTCCTGTCCTTTCTCTTCCTGGCCTTTCTCTTCCTGGCCTTTTTCTTCTTGAACCTACTCTTCCTCGCCTTTATCTTCCTGTCCTTTCTCCCCCTGGCCTTTCTCTTCCTTGGACTCTCTCTTTCTTTTCTTTCTCGTCCTTTTCTTTATCTTCCTGGCCTTTCTCTTCCTGGCCTTTTTCTTATTGAACCTACTCTTCCTGGCCTTTCTCTTCCTCTTCTTTCTCTTCCTGGTCTTTCTCTTCCTGTCCTCTCTCTTTCTTTTCTTTCTCGTCCTTTTCTTTATCTTCCTGTCCTTTCTCCCCTTGGCCTTTCTCTTCCTGTCCTTTCTGTTCCTGGTCTTTCTCTTCCTGGCCTTTCTCTTCCTTTTCTTTCTCTTCCTTTTCTTTCTCTTCCTGTTCTTTCTCTTCCTGTCTTCTCTCCCCATGGCCTTTCTTTTTCTGTCCTTTCTCTTCCTGGTCTTTCTCTTCCTGACCGTTCTCTTCCTTTTCTTTCTCTTCCTGGCCTTGCTCTTCCTGTCCTTTCTCTTCCTGGCCTTTCTCTTCCTGGCCTTTTTCTTCTTGAACCTACTCTTCCTCTTCTTTATCTTCCTGTCCTTTCTCCCCTTGGCCTTTCTCTTCCTTGGCCTCTCTCTTTCTTTTCTTTCTCGTCCTTTTCTTTATCTTCCTGGCCTTTCTCTTCCTGGCCTTTTTCTTATTGAACCTACTCTTCCTGGCCTTTCTCTTCCTCTCCTTTCTCTTCCTGGTCTTTCTCTTCCTGGTATTTCTCTTCCTGTCCTCTCTCTTTCTTTTCTTTCTCGTCCTCTTCTTTATCTTCCTGTCCTTTCTCCCCTTGGCCTTTCTCTTCCTGTCCTTTCTCTTCCTGTCCTTTCTGTTCCTGGTCTTTCTCTTCCTGTCCTTTCTCTTCCGGGCCTTTCTCTTTCGGTCCTTTCTCTTCCTGGCCTTTCTCTTCCTTTTCTTTCTCTTCCTTTTCTTTCTCTTCCTGTCTTTTCTCCCCATGGCCTTTCTCTTTCTGTCCTTTCTCTTCCTGGTCTTTCTCTTCCTGGCCGTTCTCTTCCTTTTCTTTCTCTTCCTGGCCGTTCTCTTCCTTTTCTTTCTCTTCCTGGCCTTTCTCTTCCTGTCCTTTGTCTTCCTGGCCTTTCTCTTCCTGGCCTTTTTCTTATTGAACCGACTCTTCCTCGCCTTTATCTTCCTGTCCTTTCTCCCCTTGGCCTTTCTCTTCCTGTCCTTTCTCTTCCTGGTCTTTCTCTTCCTGGCCTTTCTCTTCCTGTCCTCTCTCTTTCTTTTCTTTCTCGTCCTTTTCTTTATCTTCCTGGCCTTTCTCTTCCTGGCCTTTTTCTTATTGAACCTACTCTTCCTGGCCTTTATCTTCCTCTCCATTCTCTTCCTGGCCTTTCTCTTCCTTTTCTTTTTCTTCCTGTCCTTTCTCTTCCTGGCCTTTTCTTCCTGGCCTTACTCTTCCTGTCCTTTCTCTTTCTGGTATTCCTTGCCTTTCTCTTCCTGCCCTTATTCTTCCTGGCCTTTCTCTTCCTGGCCTTTTTCTTATTGAACCGACTCTTCCTCGCCTTTATCTTCCTGTCCTTTCTCCCCTTGGCCTTTCTCTTCCTGTCCTTTCTCTTCCTGGTCTTTCTCTTCCTGGCCTTTCTCTTCCTGTCCTCTCTCTTTCTTTTCTTTCTCGTCCTTTTCTTTATCTTCCTGGCCTTTCTCTTCCTGGCCTTTTTCTTATTGAACCTACTCTTCCTGGCCTTTATCTTCCTCTCCATTCTCTTCCTGGCCTTTCTCTTCCTTTTCTTTTTCTTCCTGTCCTTTCTCTTCCTGGCCTTTTCTTCCTGGCCTTACTCTTCCTGTCCTTTCTCTTTCTGGTATTCCTTGCCTTTCTCTTCCTGCCCTTATTCTTCCTGGCCTTTCTCTTCCTGCCCTTATTCTTCCTGGCCTTTCTCTTCCTGGCCTTTCTCTTCCTGGCCTTCCTCTTCCTGGCCTTTCTCTTCCTGGCCTTCCTCTTCCTGGCCTTTCTCTTCCTGTCTTTTCTCATCCTGGTCTTTTACTTCCCGGCCTTTCACTACCTTCCCTTCCTGTCCTTTCTCTTTCTGTCCTTTCTCTTTCTGGCCTTTATCTTTCTGGCCTTCCTGGCCTTTCTCTTCATGGCCTTTTCTCATCCTGGCTTTTCTCATCCTGCCATTCCTGACCTTCCTCTTCCTGGCCTTTCTCTTCCTGTCTTTTCTCTTCCTGGCCTTTCTCTTCCTTTTCTTTCTCTTCCTTTTCTTTCTCTTCCCGTTCTTTCTCTTCCTGTCTTTTCTCCCCATGGCCTTTGTCTTTCTGTCCTTTCTCTTCCTGGTCTTTCTCTTCCTTTCTTTCTCTTCCTGGCCTT